GGAGTCGGCACCTTTGCCTTGCCCTGGAGACACTGCAGCTTGAGTGGCAGAAGCCCGACAGCTGCTGGACCCTGCCAGGGACCCAGAGCCATTGTCGCTAGTCTGATGGGAGCAATGTGCAACAGGTTGGGGCAGCTTTTTTTTTTTTTTTTAAACTGTTTTTGCCTTAGGGCGCTTCCCCTCACAGGAGAGAGGCAGTAGAAGGCAAGTAAATCACTCCCCAGGGGGATGGCCATGCCATAATCCCTTCTCTCAGGATCTTGGGCACACACGCACACATGCCTGGTGCGAGTTTCAAGCCGCTGGGTCCGGGACCTGAACTGTGGTTGGCCACGGATGTAATTGCGATGCCCTCTGCTGGCCCTCAGGGGAGGCTCTTAAGCCGGGCCTTGGGAAGGTAGCCAGGATGGCAGGGGGCAGGGGGGCAGGACAGGACCAGGTGTGTGGGTGACTGCTCAAGAGGGGCCGTCCTCACACCAGGGACACTGGTGGTCAGGAGTGGGGGCGCTTCGGAGCGAGGCCATGGCCACTGACCAGCAAACACAGAAGAACCAGGTGCTGGGCTTGTCTCCCCACCCAGCTCAGACCTGCCGCAAGCTCCTCCCAACAGCAGCAGCACGTGGGGCCCATGGGTCCTCGTCTGTAAGGAGCCAGGAGAGTGCTGAGTGCTGGGAAGGGGCCTGAGAGGCCGGATGGCCAGGCAGACATGGTGCACGGGTAGGGGCCGCCGAGGGAGAGAACGATGACGACAGACATGACACGCAGCCTCTGGAGTTAGAGCTCTTTACTGTCCTATCAGCAGGCCCGGCAGCACGAGGCCCTCCCAGACTATCTGGAGATGAGGGGCTGCTCACAGGTGGAGGACGTGGCTCCCTGCAGCCCCAGGTGGCACTGGCTGCTCAGGCGGGCCCTGGTCTGCTACCCCATGTGAGGCCCGTGGCTCTGGTCTCTGGCACTCTGCACAGGCAGTTCCACACACCCCTCCCCAAAGGCAGGGGCCCAGCTGCTTCCAGGGCCTGGAGGGTGAAGGGGGCTGTGGGGGCTGGAGACAGCAGAAGTGAGAATGAGCTGCCTCCAGCTGAGGAGGGCCTGCCCAGCACCTCCGGGCCATGCGAGAGGCCAGTGCTGAGGGCCCAGGCAGTTGAGCTTACAGGCTTCTAGGTGGGACCCTACGGCAGAGGGACAGGCTCTGGTCCTGTGCTGCCCCGGCCCGCGGGTGCAGGGTCCTCCCCTCCTGTACCAGGCACTGGGCTAAGGCAGAAGGACCCCCATGGGCAGGAGGAGCCAGGGAGACTGACAACGAAGGTCCAACCACACGCAACCTCAGTCCTTCCAGCCACCTGGCCCAGAGCCCTGGGTTCAAAACGCAGACCCAGCCCTGCCTTCAGGTTGAGAAGAATCTGGAACGAAAAGGGGGGCACTGCCTCCTTGGGAGCCTGGTGGGTTTGGGCCATTAGGCAGCCATCACCGGAGGTTAAAGACCAGGCTGATGGTCAGGATGATGCCCAGGAAGAGGACGAAGGGCAGCCAGGTCTTCACGAAGGCCCCGACGCTGATGGGAGAGAAGAGCACGTGCATTGTGACAGAGCCACAGGTGTGGCTTGAGCCCCGCCACCTACCCCCGACAAAGCTGAGAAGCCCCCATGGCCGTCCCTCACCCCTAAACCTGGTCAAGGGTCTGCGCTGCTCTGGTGCCCGCTGAGCACGACCACCTAGGTCCTGGGCCGCTGTCTGGGCCCTGGTGGGGACCTGCCAACGCTGGCTGGGTATAGGGGCCTGTCATCCTTGGGCTCACAGGCTCCGCGACTGCCCACCTCTGGACAGGTCTCCAGCATGAGGAGGGACACTCCAGCTGGGTACGGAAGCCACCAGTTGCCTCTGCTCATGTGCTCGCCATGGCTCGCTGGCAGGGTGTGCTGTGGACAGGGCCTGGCTCTGCGTCTGTGTGACTGCACTTACATTCTTCACAGGGCACCCCTAAACGCCTCCCAGACTTAGAAAATACCTCTAGAGAATTTCCTTTTCAGAAGCTCTTAAAGACTAGCATAGGGGAACCAGCAGTTAGCGTAATGGCTATGTCGCTGGACTCCCACGTAGTCGACCGCGGTTCGCATCCCGGACCCGGTGGCTTAAAACTCACGCTGGGCGCGTGTGCGTGCGTGTCCAAGATCCCGAGAGGAGAATGGAGGAGAAGGGATTGCGGCGTGACCATCCCCTCTGGGGGGTGATTTCTCACTTTCTGTCTCTATGTCTCTCTCTGTCTGTCTGGCGAGTGCACGCGCCCTATAGCAAAAACCTCTAAAAAAAAGACTAGCATAGAGGAAAGCTGGGAGATGCAGCTGGGTTAGTCCAGACACGCTGGCTCCCAAGTCCGGGTGCTGCTGTGTGACTTACTCACCTCTGAGCTTTCTTGACCTCTGGACTGCGACAAACGTCTGACCTCACAGGCTACCAGACTGTGCCTTCAAAGGTCCCCCTGCACTCCCCAGGTCATCAGTGGGGTTCACCTGCCCAGACAAGGGTCTGACAAGGATGCTTGGGAAGGGACTCCGTGGAGGGGCGCCATCACGAAGACCTACTGTTCACTCTACCTGACCTCCCCAGGGAGCCAGAAGCCCTGCCCTGTCTTCCTGGGGCCCAGCAGCTGGGAGGCGCCCAGGCAGTTCATCTTACAGGGAGCCAGAGGCAGAGCTGGTCTGGCCTAAGCCATGGCCTCATCCTCCGCACCCCTGGGACCTCGGCTAGTCATTCTAGAACCTTCACAGCTCTGAATGGCAGGCTGACGGCCCCAGAAACAGGCTCTCCTGGGCCTGGGAGAGCAGCTCGGGCCGGTGGGAGGCTCACCTGACGTACTTCCCATAGAGCAGGCAGAGGCAGCAGAGCGTCACCATGTTCCAGCGCGTGCTGTTGTTGTACCGCATCAGGTTCAGGGCCAGCGCCACGTGGGAGTGGCAGTTGTCACAGCAGAGGTTGTGCTGAGGTGCGGGAGGGCTGGGTCAGGCCAGGCTGCGGTCCCCCTCCCCCTCCGCCCGGGGCCCAGGAGGCCCCGCCTACCATGCGGTGCTTGTACTCCTCGGAGGCATCATGCACGGCTGTGTCCCAGGCGTTGGGCCCACTGGTGTACACCCGAGCAGGGTCCAGCTTCCAGTACCTGGAGGCAGACAGGGACACCAGGTCAGTCGGTGTGTTCTGGGCTGCCGGGCAGGGGCTGAGCCTGTGGGCAGAGTCACGCCCAGGACAAGCCACGCAGCAGCAGCCGAGATGGGGGCTGAGGCGCCCAGTACACGGTGGGTCCTGCGGTGGCAGGGAGGGTTTGGATCTAGGCTGGCAGTCTGAACGCGTTTACCCTAATCCCAAGCCTGCAATGTTAGGAGGGGCCTTCAGGTAGTGACCAGGTCATGGGCCTTCACTGTGGACTTCCTCGCCTCCAGAAGTGGGAAGGAGGTTTCTGCTGTTTACAAGCTGCGCAGTCATGGTATCTATTACAGCATCCTGGAAGGGCCAGGCCGAGCACAGCTCACACACAGCAGGAGGCCGGAATCGTGCAGTGTCCCAGGAGCATGTACCTGGACATACTGAGGGGCTTGGAGAAGCAGGGACAGAGAGCTGTCTAGGGCACCTCCTGCAGGGACCTGAATGTCGCACCAAGCAGGCTGTCCACCAGCGAGTACTCCCACTTTCCATACAACTTCCTGGGGTGAGCAGCAGAGATGCAAATGGTGCTAATAAGCCCACAAACCTCAGGCTGGGTGCGGACTATTGCTCTAAGCAATGGGGTGCCCACGGGCCTCCAGCCAGGAGTGTGGGGAGGTTGGGTGCCCAGCACTCACAGACTGTCCAGAGGCCACGAGAAACCAGGGTGGCTAGGACTGGGGTTGCTTAGGGCTGCCGGGAAAGGTACACTTGAAGTTGGCCTTGCCCAGCCTGGCACAGATGCCCTGGGCACATTCCCACCTGCCTGGGGATGTCAGGGCAGGGGTCAGGAAGCCCTGTTACAGGCCACCTCCTGGGCAGCCCTGGCCAACAGGTGCTTGGGGCTGCCCAGTGGGTCCTGAGTGCAAAGAGGAGACCCGAAGGTCCCGACTGGACCAGAGATGGCTTCCGAGTAGGATGGGACCTGCCCCAGCCAGGACTCCCAGCAGGCTGCACAATGGCACCTCACACCCTAGCAGCCTGTCTGTTCCCGGGGGCAGCAGAGTGAGTCCAGGCAGAGGAGACGGACCGGTGTGGGCCTAGCTGGCCATGCCCTGCAGTGTCATTTACTAAGAAAGGTCCACCTCCTTCTGCTTTTCCCACTCTTGCCATGAGGTGAAAACATGGTGGGGCGGTGGCACTCATCCGGGGCTGACCCCGCTTCCTTAGGCGCTGGCTGGTGCTGGGTCCCAGCTGGCCTGGCTGCTGCTCAGGACGGGAGGAAAAGCCCAGGGCAGTCGTGCAGCGTTCTTCACTTACTTGGCAGGCTTTCCGAAGGCCATGTTGTCCTCCTGTCGAGGGACAAGAGCAGAGGTCAGGCTGAAAGAGGCCTAGAAAGGTCTGTCTGGAATGGGTGTAAGGGGTCTGGCCCTGCTTGGGGCGCGTCAGCATGGGGCACATTTCGCGGGGCAGAGTAGTGAGGCACCCAGAGCCTGTGTCTGGGGCTCACTGGGGCCCCAGCTGCCACTTTCCCCAGTCCTGCCTTCTCCCAGGTCTCTGGCAGAGACTTGCACACAGCATGGCCCCGCCCCCTTTGGCAGTCTGGCTTCCCTGATGGGGAGACTGCAGTGAGCTCTGCACTCACCATGGGACCTGAGGGATGGGACCCCAGGGAGGAGTGAGTCTGTGGGACCATGCCGGGGCCATGGCGGCCGTGACAGAGAAGGCACTGGAGGAGTATCTCTTTTGTCTTTTGTTTTTAGGTTTTTGCCAGAGGGCATGTGTGCTCATCAGAGACAGAGACCTCCTGTCGAGGGACAAGAGCAGAGGTCAGGCTGAAAGAGGCCTAGAAAGGTCTGTCTGGAATGGGTGTAAGGGGTCTGGCCCTGCTTGGGGCGCGTCAGCATGGGGCACATTTCGCGGGGCAGAGTAGTGAGGCACCCAGAGCCTGTGTCTGGGGCTCACTGGGGCCCCAGCTGCCACTTTCCCCAGTCCTGCCTTCTCCCAGGTCTCTGGCAGAGACTTGCACACAGCATGGCCCCGCCCCCTTTGGCAGTCTGGCTTCCCTGATGGGGAGACTGCAGTGAGCTCTGCACTCACCATGGGACCTGAGGGATGGGACCCCAGGGAGGAGTGAGTCTGTGGGACCATGCCGGGGCCATGGCGGCCGTGACAGAGAAGGCACTGGAGGAGTATCTCTTTTGTCTTTTGTTTTTAGGTTTTTGCCAGAGGGCATGTGTGCTCATCAGAGACAGAGACAGTGAGAGGGAAAGTGAGAAACCACCCGCCTGGGGGGGATGGCCTGGGGGGGATGGCCACGTGGAGATCCTTTCTCCTCTGTTCTTGAGATTCGGGCACACACACACTTCACGTGATATTCAAGTCGCTGGGTCTGGGACTTAAACCACAGCCGGTCACGTGGGAGTCCAGCGCCTTAACCACCACCTGAGCTGCTAGCCCCTGGACAAAGTATTTCTAAGTGCAAAGCACTAGGCTTCATCACGTTAAAATGACCCTGCTGACTGCAAACAGGTGGGGGCCCAGTGCCCTTATTCCAGCCCACACTGGGGACAGGCAGGGCATGGGCCTGGGCACACAGTTGGGTCGCTCTGGAAGCCCACCCCAGGGGCCCTGTGAGCCTTCCACCCTGACCTCGACTCCCACTTTCCGAAGGTCCGAAGATGTGGCTCTTGGGTGGTCTGACTCTACACTTTGGCCTCTAGGTTCCACCCATGCCTTGGTACCCTGGGGATGGGTGCAAGGATGCCCTGCAGGGTCAGTTACTTAAGAATCCTCTGGCCACACTGCCCTCCTGGTCTGTTCTAGAGGCAAGAGAACGGGGAAGAGGGGTCAGACACTGAAGAGTGGCTGAGACTGGCGATCTCGCACTCTCCAGGGTCTGAGAACGGAAGCCTGCCTGCAGGCAAGACCAGCACCTTCCCCTGCGGCCTTGGCACCTCGAGAGGGGCACTGTTGGGGCTCACCGAGACGAAGTAGGGGCCAGCGAAGTCCCGGATGACGCCCGTGGATGTACAGATGCCCATGTGGCCGATGACGGGGAGGAACCACCTGGGGAAGGAGAGGGATACAGCTCAGGGTCCCCAGTGACAGACATAGGGACCCTTCACCCCAGGGCAGCGTGGGTGCCCAGCACCGTGTGGGACACAACTGAAGGACAGACACCGAGGTGGGTGAGGGCGGGTGCTGTTCAGAACTCGCGCTGCTGCTAGGGTGGGTGTGCTCCTGACGCCTGCACCTCAGCAGCTTCAGCGGAGGTGAGTGCGTGTCCGCTGAGGCGCCACAGAATGGTTGCAGCACTTTATTGCAATAGCTGGAAGCACCATCTGATAAAAACCATGGAACCGTGCCCTTAACACGGGCACTCACCGCCCTGTGGCGCGGCAGTCAGGCCTTGCAGGAGCCTGTGCTCCCACCACAGATGAGAGTCCAAGTCCCAGTGGCTTACAGGCCATGGGTGCACATGTGCAGGACCCTGACGACACGGCACTGGGGGAAACGAACTGTGGCGTGACCTGTCTCTACTGGGGCTGGTTCCTCTCCTCTCTCTGGCCAGCCCGCACATGCCCTCTGGCATACAGAAAAGCAAGTTTGTGTTTAATTTGTACACTCTATTGCATGTAAACTATACAAAGCAGATCAATAACGGAAGGGCCCAGAGGGGCCCACAGTGGTGAAAAGCACTCTGGGGTTGCTGGCTTGGGTCTAGAGGCCTCCTTGAGAGGCCCAGGCATTTGCAACCCAGCACTGGGCTGGCTGGAGCTGCAGCGGGCTGGGCTGAAGGACCTTGTCTCAGGGGTGTGGTATTTCCTTTTTTCTTTTTACTTGCTTGGGGGTGTGGTGAGCTCACCAGAGGAGAGACAGAGTGAGAAGGGGAGAAAACACCCCAGTGTGGCGTGGTCATGCTGCAATCCCTCCTCCTCCAGCTCACCACCCCGTCAGGACTGGGGTACACACGCTCACAAGCTCAGGGTGTTTTTCAAGTTGCCGGGGGCCAGGACTCAAACTGCAGTTGGTCACGTGGTATCCGACTCTCCCTACCCACCAAGCATAGGGCCAAACTGGGGTGTGTGCTGTATTTCTGCCTTTCTCACTCATAGAACAAATAAAATAAACAAAGTCACAAGTAGTCCAGATGTCCAAGGGTAAACCAGACAAACCGTGGCACAATCACACCATGAACAACTCCTAGCAGTGAAAAGGACTTGAGACACGCCACCTGGATCATACAGACAGGGCTGAGTGGGGGACACAGGCGCACATGACAGAGCTTTATTTTATTTTTTATTATTTTTAAAAAAGTTTTGGCTATAGAGCACATGCACTTGTCAGAGACAGAAGGAAAGTGAGGCAGCACTCCCCAGGCAGGTAGCCACACCACAATTCCCTCTTCATTCTCCTCTTGGGATTCTGGGCACACGCGCCCATGCACCCAGCATGTTTTTCAAGATGCCAGGTCTGGAACTTGAAACACACTCAACCACATGGGATCCAGTGTGCCTTCAACTCCATGCCACCTGGCTGGCCCATAACATAGTACTTTTTTGCCAGGGTGCATGTGCACTCACTGGAGGGAGTGGGAAGGTGAGAAAGCAACCCACATGGGGTATGGCCGCAAGCTCTATTTTTAAGAAGCTGTAGGAATTAAATAGAAAAATACATCTGGAGCCCAGCCACAGTGCTGTAAGCTGTGGGCGATGCTGCATGAGCCAGGGCGGGCTTTTGAGATCGCTATCCGCTGCTGGACATCCAGTGATGGCTTCCTATCACCACTTACAACACCCTTTGAACTCCTTCCAGCATTCTGGCCCTAATTATCTCTTGGCTCTCGCCCCGTGGCCTAACCACAGGGCCTGCTTGTGGCTCACCAAGCTGTGCCCCCCCCCCCATTTTCTACAGAGCCCTTTCTTCTGCCTGGAACGCCTCCCACCCCCCTCCGGCTCTGCAGAGCTGGCCCCTCTTTGTCCCATTAGGGCCTTGGTTACGCTTTCAGCCAGCCTTCAAAACCCGGGCACCCAGTACCTAGTGCTCTGTGTTAGAAACTGTCTTGCTGGGACCGGCAGGTGGCGTGGTAGTTAAGGCTCTGGGACTCCCTCATGGCTGACTGTGTTCGAGTACTGGACCTGGCAGCTTGCTTTCTCACTTTCTCTCTCTGGTGGGCAAGCGTGCCTTGTAGCTCATTGAAATATATCAACAATAATAAATAAAACTAAATAATTCTTTTTTTAAAGCATTATTTTTTTTAAATTTTATTTATTTGCAATTAAAGTATGAATTTATTTTGGTACAAAAACTTTTTGAAATTCATACAGTTTTCCCATTACACGTATTTCCATGAGCTTTTTTTTTTTGGTCTGAAACCAGTGTATACTGCATAGTGGCTTAATCGTGCACGCTATCACCAATAATTTTCCATTTCTAGTTTAATATATATATAGATATGTATATCTATATTTTTACCCCTATTTCTGACCCTTTGCCATTTCCCATCCTCCTCCCACACTATCTCAGGTGTTTACAGTTGTTTTCCATTCCTTTTCCCTCCACATTTTATTGATCACACAATTTCTTATATAATCTAACTTCTTTCTTTCTTTCTTTCTTTCTTAATAAACTGTTGTTAATTTTCCTTATCA